ACCACAAAACAACTCGACGAGGCAGCAGGTGGTTGGGCATAGGTAACACATGTCTCAACCACTTCATCTGTTAATCTTCCATCCTTACCTAGTACCTGTTTTCTAACAATAGCATTGCTTACGCAGCTTTCTCAAGATAAACGAGCACTGCTTCTAAAATATCTATGATCGAATTCTAGTAACAGAGGTTAAAAATACCTGTTGTTGTTAAGTAAGGCCTATGTTTTTAGATCGGTATTTACATGGTAAGATGTAAATTACAACAGAATCAGAAGTTATGTCTGTATACGTTGATGCACCGGAAGATATTCTTGAAGAATTGTCTCGCAATTTTGAAGTCTAAGTCACGTGTAGAATGTCAAACAATGCTGTATGGTGTATTCGAAAGTAGTTTAATCTTCATTAATTCGCGAAAATTTCTTTATATGATTTTGAAATACTTTATCTGTCAGCCACGCTTGATGTAATCTCCTTATAGGCTAATTTTTCTTAGAAATTACTCTAGTCTTCTATTACAACAAATGTTTTGAGGAAATTATGAATTAAGCTGAGCGTACAAATTTTATTTTTAGAAAATTACGCACAGAAAGATTATACGTCGAGTTGCTCTCTGTAGAAGTTACCTATTGCGTCTGGGACTAGTCTGTCTTGGTTTCACGTTTGTTTTGTGGATAAACACAAATATACCCAACCAGAGCGATCTGCATACCAGCTCCGCTCAGTTGCCTTCTCGAATAACCGTGGGGAACAATCGCATTTTGAAACTTCCAACTGACGAACAACTTGAGCTCTTTGAACGACCAGAAAGTCAACGTAAATTTCGAAAGGATAATGCAATTAGTGTAGATCATTTCGGCCAACCTCTTCTTCCGAATTTCCATTCACATTCCCCCATTGATGAAGATCCGGGTAGGTAATCTGAAAAGCATGATCTGTTATGGTTAATTATTGATGAATCTATGCAACAAACTGCAGACATTCAAGGGATTTTTGTGTATGCCAATGAAGTTGTGAAGTAATTTTGAATTTTATATGATCGGACTTGACGATCACGCTAAACCTATGAGCTAGACAAACGGTAGTCGAAGAAGCCAAAAGCCTATATAAGCAATCAAAACACATTTAAATCTGTGATCGAACTGACTAGAACAGATTCTGTATGTCTTCAACACGGATTCGATTTAAAAAGTACACAGTCAAGGTACATATGTAATTCGATGTTTTAAATCAGACAAGGAGTGATTTGCTCTGTATTCCACGCAAGAACTTCACTAACGCTTTTACTGATATAACTGTCATCGAACCACAAACGTTGAGTCCAAGCGAAAACTGACTGCTTTTGAATGTTATCGTTTGAATCGCATTATGGAAATGTCTTTCAGGTTGTACCTTGTACAACTTTGAGCTTCTCAAAGAAATTATGACTTGCATTGAGAAAACAAATAACTACTTGTAAATTAGTGTAGAAGCTTTAGCGTTCGGGATCTGAATCAGCCTCGAGAGTTAACCTATGGTGGCTGTAAATGGAATCGTTGATCTCTAATAGATGAATTTTACTGACAATCAAGACATTATGATATCAATTTACAGTTATAGATGCTTGAGAGACGACTATGTATTTTTAGATGAAGATAATGAATTAATTAAGCTATTTGACCTTGGTATGCAATGCAGTATTGACAGAGATAATTTGTGTCCTTGTGAAAAATCAATATCAATTTCATTCTATATGAAGCGGGTAAAATTGAAGAGAAGTATGGTGAGACGTATTCTATTAACTTCTGCCAAGAAAGTTAAATCTGTGCATTCAAATAAAAGGTTTAGTAAACATTAATCTATTTGGAACGGCTATCAATGTGACATTGATTTTTCACTGCTTTTTTAGGTCACAATGATGATTTGGAGTCAATGGTTGCCAAAAAGATAGATAAAGGTTATTTGAATAATATCAAACCAGCTGTCAACTGGCCGCAAGAAAAGGACCTCCTCGTAAGACCAGATCATGAAGGTAAAAATATAATTAGAGATAATGGTCAGACGATTGTAGACAACCGTCCAAATAAGATATCAGCTATTGCCAAGCTGGGTTTATTTCCTAATGCTCCACCTAAAAGAAGTGACAAATACTCGAAAGGTCCAGGTGAGTGTCTAGTTGTTATAGATTAGAGTTCTGGTGCCTGTCGCACTCAACAGTGTTTATTTAATTCTGGTTCAACATATTTTGTTCATATTATTGAATACAACTTTTTACGGTTGTTTTGTGTAGTTTTAATGTAATTTAGACATAGAATAAATATAATGTGACTCCAGTTTGCGCGAACAGTTGAATATACTAATTCTGACATACGATATTTAGAGAACCCTGTTTACGCGACGGCAATAATGAGAAGCCCAATATAGCTTATTTTCCATGAATTTGTTCCATAGATAGGCGTAAACTGACAGGCAATAACAAGAAGCCTAAAGGCGAAACAAAGTGATGCGGAGAAATTGAGAGGGCTAACTCAATGAGATGAAGCAAAACTAAAAATGTATACTGTGAGACAAAAATTAGTTAGACATGTGATAAGCGAGGCGATCAATGCACTCACACACTCAAGTAAAAGCAACCAACGTTATAAGCTGTTAACTGATGACGAGGTTGACAGACATGTGAATAATAACTGGAGAAAAATATGTTAGTTGGTTTATCCAAAGGTTCGGACAAGCCACATCAATGTAAAGCGTATACCTCTGAATTGTGACACCGTAGTTTTAAACAGTTGTCGATCAATGCTGACGCTGAACGCATTGGGTTTAAACATGCGTAGAATGTGATGATGAGTTGTATGAGAGAAAAGCAAGGCGTTTATTGCTCTCTAGTTCTTATTGATCATCCCGCAGTTGTCAGTCAATAGTCTAAGATATCTCAGCATGTTCATTTAACACAGTTAAAGGTTATTGATTTGCATTTCTTTTCTCATTGTGTCACTCACAATTTGGATTCCATGATGTTTTTCACGTGCCTACTGATCAACTTAATACAACTGAATAAAGGTGAGCATGGTGAAGCGTATACAGTAAATCGTGACGATTTGTCGCCATCTGAACAACTGATATTTGATAAAGGTTGGAAATACAATTCTTTTAACCAGTATGCAAGTGATCGAATAAGTGTGAGACGATATTTACCAGACTATCGAGAAGGCAAGTAAGTCACTTTTGAGATTACTGCAACACATTATATTTTATTTGCTTAAGAAGATTTGTGGTTGATTTTCGTCTTTGTTTTTCACGTGATTGACATTAAGGCTATCTTGTGTACAGTCGATTGTTACACTGCGTTTGGTGTAGAGCCATCTGGATTGTGCTAATACCCAAACTGTTCGAAACGCTGTAGGAGTCAGTCTCTGGGCTAATGGGCTAGATGAAATAGAGTTTGGATGTAGTGCTTTACGATTTATTCATCTGACGACAAACTGTAAGGTTTCTCGAATTACTGGGGATTGACTGTTCAACCATGTTATTAGTGTTTCAATCATTGTGATGGAACTCATCACCAAACATCAACCTCCTCGACAATGGAAAAGTATTTGACATTGTGGAGAGGACAAAAACATGGAAATTTCTTCGAAACTGTGGAGTACTTGAGAAGATTGTCACCATCATGCAGAATTCTGTGAAATCGTGTATGTGAGGCAGCTCACAGACTCATTCCAGATGAAAACCGGTGCCGACTATGCTGCTTACTCTCGGCGTTTGTCTTTCGTCGTTGACTTGTTTATGAAGACCGTGACTTCTCAGGAAAACTCTGAATACGGTGGACATTTTGAATCCAGGTAGATTATTTGAATTCTTCAGGTGACCTAGTTCTTCTATTTCACTTACAACAGTAAATGCGGAAAAAGGCGGGCCGCGATGTGGCAGCCTCTGTAAAAAGCTGTCTGCACACAATGCTCTAATCCACTGGTCGGGCTTCGTCAGCTACAATCTGTTGTGACAGAAGACAAACCAACCTACACTCGAAACGAAACTTTAGTGAAGATGTCGGAGGTGGATAGGACACACATTGAGAACACCACAAAACTTCGTCACATAGCTAGTCGTAAGTTGGGATTGTCAAAACGAAGGGAAACTAGAAAGACTAAAGAACAGAATAAATCGGGAGTTGGGGACAGATATCCGATGGATAAATAGCGATCGGTAAGATCTAGAAAGCAGAGCCCAAGACAGACTAGGTTGGATAATTTGATCGGTGACCTACGTTCCATGAGAGCCAACAGACTTAAGTAACTAATAATTGTACCTGGTGATTTGATTGGCATTCATCTATCAAATGTTATCAGTTTGATCGATGACAGATATTGTTGACTGTTTATTATGCAGTGATGGATGACTGTTCGATTAATTTGTATGTGTTTCGCTTGAAATTATTTGACCCTTCCATCTAGAAGTAATTTCTAATCATTACTCCTACATATATATATATATATATATATATATATATATATATATATATATATATATATATATACATGATTTATATTTATGCCTACATGTATCGCGTTAAGTAAGTACGAGTAAACACGAGTATATATGTTGTAAACAGTAATCTTTTCCGAACCCGTCAACATACTGGTTAACTGTCAGAAATCTTGAATTAATATTGTTGATTATGAATTAAATAATTATGTTCAATTTAATGAACTTAAACATGAAACATGTTATCTGAAAATAATAATAATAATAATTTTATCATATCAGTAATTCTTATCTACTATTTTTAGCAACAGTAAACTGATCAGTCAAACAAATCCAAATCACGTTGTCTTACTCAACAATTATAACCTGAACTTAGCGTATTAAATCACGTAGTGTATTTTTATCGACTCAATGTTTGTTCAAATGGATGCTACAATTATTTATGTTTATGTGTCACTTTTAACTTGACACTTTTATTTTGATTCTGCTATCGTCGTAATTGACAATATGTGTTTTTATTTAAAAAAATACTTCTGCAGGTGTAAAGTCAACAAATATGCAAGTAATCTACCCTCAGCATCTGTGATAATTTGTTTTCATAATGAAGCTTGGTCAACATTATTGCGTTCAGTACATTCAGTGATAGATCGATCTCCACCAAATTTGTTACATGAAATTATACTGGTTGATGATTACTCTGATCAACGTAAGTCACATCTGTTTGTTTTGAATGCTGTTGATTCGATTTCGGTTGATTCAAATTGAGTTTACAGTGAGGTAGTTTCAAAATGATGCTGTTATCATTCGAAGAGTGCATTGTTCCATCTTCAACAGAATCTGGTGTTTATGAGATGCTGTTGATTGTGTCAATAAATACTTCGGATTTGAAATTCTCTTATGATGTGCAAAAATGATTGAACGTTTGAGTGATAGTGAACGATTGCTATTTATTGACTTGCAGTATTGATTGATGTAAAGAAAAGATTCAAAGGAAGACAGAGGAGAAAGCACTATGTTATGTGAACCGGTTTCAATTCGCGTTTGACTTGTCTCTCAATTACCATATCTTGATTACATCACTTCAGTTTTCTTCTGATGTACATCAGACTGTGATTCTTTTGGTTATTAGAATTGAACTAATTATTTAGGATAAAAATAAGTTGATGTGGGGATGTTTTGTTCTGTGAGCTGGATATTTTGATTGTGGAACTTTCATTGTTCTTCTGAGCAAGAATAAACATCTATGTGAAGTTTGTGCTGACGATGTTGTTCAGAAAAACAATGAAAGTTTCACAACCAAAACATCCAGCTCAGAGAACGAAACACCGTCAGAATCATCCACCTTAGCTACAAATTTTCTCCACTCTCTGTTTGATATTTTATTCAAAACTAATCATTCTACCAACCAAACTAAGATACAGCATAAATCAATATAGTCGTTGACTGCTCCTGTTGATCATTTCGACAGGTGCAAGTGTCTTAGGCAAAGTTTGCATCATAACCAAGTTAACCGTTTTCAGATTTCATATAATGTAGCTCAGAATTGTTTATCATAAATTAGATACATTCACTCCTTCTATTTCTCTCTTCCTCTATTCGTACACTTTGATAATGATTTAATCGAAGATAACTCTCCACTTGAGTATCCCTTGTTGTTGACTAATCTTATGGGGATTAATAAATTGTTCCTGTAAATCGTTAGTTCCATTATTTGTACTATAAACATATCTTTTCATTGTTTGTATCATCAAACCATATTCTCATTCTTTATTCATTCCCCTAATCTTTCTCTCTATTGTTTTTTTTGACAATTTCATTTCATCATCCTAGTATTATTCAATCATAACTTATGCTAAAGCTATTACATTCATTGATCATAGTCTAATTTCAATAAGGTAGAAAAAGAAACATTGAATGATCGTTTTTGCATATTTTTTTATTTCATAACAGTCAAGTTTTTCAAAGTAAATGTTAACTCAGTTAAATCAGATAATTTCAAGTTATTTTCTCATTAGATTTGAATAACAGTTGGTGTTTGTATTTTATTTTGAGATTCGCTCTGTGGAATGTGCATTCACAAAACATACTTACTTACTTACTTTCTCCTGTTACCCCCAGTGGAGCATAGGCTGCCCACCAGTTTTCTCCAACCAACTCTGTCCTGGGCTTCCCTTTCTAGTTCTTTCCAGTTTTCGTTCATTCATCTCAATCTTTCTCTATTTCTCGACATAATCCGTTCCTTGGCCTTCCTCTTTTCCTTTGACCTTGAGGGTTCAATGTGAGAATTGTCTTGTGACGCAGTCGGGTGCATTTCGCAGTGTGTGCCCCATTCACTTGCACCGCTTCTTCCTGATTTCCAACTCCGCTGGAATCTGGTTTGTTGTATCCCACAGTAAGTTGTTGCTGATCGTGTCTGGTAGACGAATCAAAAGTATTTTGCGTAGACAACTGTTCATAAATACTTGCATCTTCTGGATGATGACTTTCGTAGTTATCCACGTTTCCGCTCCACACAGTAGAACTTTCTTGTCATTTGTATTGAAAATCCTGATTTTGGTTATGATTGATATTTGTTTGGAGTTACAGATGTTTTTCAGTTGTGGAAATGTAGCACTTGCTTTACGGATCCGCGCCCTCACATCTGCATCAGATCCACGTTGGTTCTCAATGATCCTGCCAAGATAGGTAAAGGTGTCAACGTCCTCCAAAGAATCTCCATCAAGCGTGATTTGGTTGGCGCATGTTGTGTTGTATCGCGAAATCTTGCTTTTCCCTTTATGTATGACATTGCACTTAGTACTTCCTAATTTAATATTATGTTTCTCTGCATTGAATTATGATACATATACCTGACATACTATGATTTCAGTCTGTGTGTGTGTATGTGACCTATCGATTGAATATCCAGTCTAGTTAGTGGTAATGTAATCCAACTTTTTTTTTACTATCTCGTTAATATTAATTGTTTCAAAATTTCATTGATCATATAATTGTATAATTGTTGATGATGAGAATTATTTTCTTTTTATATAAAATAATATGTCATATGACTTTTGATATAGAGATATATTTGAAATAGTAATATAAAAATTAGTTAAACCGTGATGTAATAATATTTATATTATAGGTCAACAATCATCCCATCAATATGTTCAAGTTGACTGATAGACTAAACTGATTAACTGGATCGATTGATTGAATTAATAATGTACTCACGTAACAAATTTTCAGATTACAATCGAATGAATTTCTAATAAATAGAAACTAAAGTACAAAAACACCAGATGCTTCTTGAGGAAAATGTGATTAGATCACACACACACACACATGAAAAAGTACTGTATTAAGGGAGAACTATTGGTTATGAAATAGGTGATGAGACTCGACTTCAGTCTATGATATCATACATTGATGATTAAAACATTATAAGATATTTAAATATCATGAAGAATGTTCTGAGATGCATTTGTTTCTTCATATCACACCTTTTCATTTTCTCCTATTGACGGCACTACTTAAAAATATTAGGTAGTTTGCAATTATTTAAACAATTTTACAAATTATTTGCATTTACCTATTGTCACAAACAAACTGAGAAATCCATTGTTACTATTATAGTTTCTGTTCATATATTTTTGATAATATTTCTCCATTATTTCCCTTTATGGTCTCTAATGTGAGTTTTAATAGTTAAAATGTAGTTTATTCCAAGCAGCTTACTCTATTTTTTTATGAATCCCTAGTAGTATTCAGTGTTCTTTTTTCTGCTCAATAGTGTTGGTTACAGATTCAACTATTGCTCACTTATTATTAAGACATACCATCTATCTTTAAATATACTTTTGATGGTGTAAATGACTTCCATACATCTAACTACTTGAGCTTTCTATACTTGTATTCTTTACATTGCTATCAAATTATAGTACTGGTTGAGCAAACAGATACTTGATTTTTTTTAAATTATCACTGATGAAAGCCTCATATTATTTATTTTGACATATGTTACATCATTCTAAGTTTACGGAATTCTTTGGCATAGATTTTATGCTGTTGTGTTTTCTCAGTTAATTATATTCATATAATTGCTATAATGTTTGGAATGATAATGATCGACTTTTATTGAGATAACAAACCAATCTAAGTTAGAGCATTATTGACATTTATTATATGCTTACCAGTTATCCACTTTAAGAAGAAACTATCGGAGTTCTGATTAGAAACCGTAATTAGTAAAGTTCAACTTTGCCGGATATGAGGAAGTTGGTCACCAAGAACAATGAAAGATAATAGCGTAGTATCTATTGTATATTGATTAGATTTAAACTTGTACACCAATCGATTCAGGTTTAATGGTCTGAAGGTTAGGCGTACAAGCACGTGACCAAAGATTCTATGTTCGTTGCTGGTTATGTGGTCATGATTGTGCTTTTTCCGAGAAGTTCCACACTAGGACAGAACAGCGATACAATGTTTCTAGTAATTACATCCTCCTACAATCAATCTGCTTGTTAATGATTGAGAATGCAAAATTTCACATACTGTAAATATAATTTTGAATTTTTCAATGAACGACTCGTCGGTTGTAAAATGCTTTACGTATGATAGTGTATAATTCTTATTGTGCTATTCAAAATCGTCATACATACATCATGAATAATTTCAATGTGTAAACTAAGAATTTTAGCAACGTTTTAATTTCATTGCTTTATCGTTATTATATTTAAATTGTTTCAATAATTTTCTATTCAATTTTCATATCTTAGCTCATCTCAAAGAAGCATTGGAAGAATATATGGCAATGTTAAAAGTTGTTAAAATTGTTCGTACTAAACAACGTGAAGGATTGATTAGAGCAAGAATGATTGGTGCAGAACATAGTACTGGGAAAGTTCTGGTGTTTCTAGATTCACATATTGAATGTACCACAGGTGAGTTTGATATTATATTAACAGTAGTTTGGTGTACTAATGTTTCATAATATTGTATCTTCTGGATTCTTCAACGTCTCTAGTTTTGACTTTCTAAACTTTTCTCATTTAATCATACTTCTTGAATAATATCTTGTAATCCTAACCTCTCCGAAAACTTCCAATACCTTTACTACCTCTTCTACTATTGGATTTGAATTGACAGTTATATCTCTGTGCTGATGTGGTATGGCGACATGAACTGATGTACTTACGTACGAAGTTCTACGTTGCAACTGACTGATCTTGTGTGAATTGTAAATGTGCTATACATATGCATGTATGTGTGAACATATTCCTATGAAATTGTATATCTCATAACTATACGTTGTATATGTACAGATAATTTATTGAACGAAACATTTCTTAACAGTAGAATTGCCTCCAGAAACTACTTTTACATCTTGAATCATGAATCTTTTTGACTGACAAGTCATTTTGTTCCTGATAGCGTGCAAATAACATAAGCTGATTAATAGTATATCGGCAACTATTTCCTGGTCTGGTGTTCAATGAACCACTCTTTCTAGGACTAATTTTTGAACCCCAAGTCGGTAATCATCTAACCTCTCCGTCTAGTTCAGTCTAGAGGTCAATGTGATGATCTACCTCAATAAATATAGTACCCCAGATTTTGACATCGTCAAAAGACAACAGTGTCGAAAACTTAAGAAACTCCGGTGATTCATTGGCATAAAAAATACGGGAAATACGATGGTGCCACATGGTTCATTATTTTTCACCAGTTTTCATCCATATAGTGTTCCATAAAACCTCTTAGTGTACCTTAAGTCTCAGAGGAAATTTCTCTGTCCACTCTTGTATAGTACCTATTATCTCAAAGACAGAGATAAATCAATGAGTATCAAGCTGACAAATAAAACCACTGTGTTAAGCAGTTTCCTAATTCTTTCTCTCAGTTAGTTAAGCATGATTGTTTTTTTCGAAACTGATATTACGGTTAATTTGTAGCAAATTGTAAATATATGTAAAGTCATTGGTTTCACTCTTCAACGAAGTTTCACCACTGATTTTGGCATACAAGCAGTAATAGTTGTCCAAAGGTTATTATCATGTAAGTTGATGTTAGTTAGTGAAAATATGATGTAACTGGTCATCGAAAGTGAAGAAACGGACAAAGCTTACTGACGAACTCAGTGAGCATGACCGTCTGTAAGTATGTGGAATAAATTGTTGCCTATCCCTTACTCTAGTTTTGTTCGTAAGTTATTTACCTAGTTTGACGTGATCCACTCTCTGTGTAATGTGCTGTTCAAATACTCAACTAAATGGTAGTCTAAAGTCTGTCACCTATCAGAACTCAAGAACGCATGATTGTGAAATACTACAGAAAGTAAAGCATTTCATAAAGCCATTGTTATAACATACAAAAAATTATCATTTTTTAAACTTCATAAAATCAATCGCCATCCGTTAAAAATAAAATGAAGTCAATCATTCATCTATCCATCTATTGTATTTCCGCTAATCTCTATATGTTCTATGAATTAGTATTACAATCATATTGACTGTTACATTTCATTTTCAAAAATTCCATTTTTGTTTTAAAATATTTTGAATGTTGTTTCTTTTAACTGACAGTGTCAAGTTTTTAATACGTTAATAAGCCAATTCATTCATCATAACTACAAATGAACTAAATAATGATGAATGTGTTCTTCCATCGTTTAGATGAATTTCGAAACTTGAATAAACAAATCTAAAGTTTATTCATCATACATAATTCTAGTGTGTTTTTATGCTCAATTATTGGCTGAATTTCTCATCGGTTTCGTATCCTTAATTTTATGACTATTTAGTGAATGAATATATATATTGTGCATTCGATTAGTTTGTCTTGCAATCAACAAGTTTATTGATCTTGTCAATGGTTTTCACCTCTTTTTATATCTTTCTTTCTTCTTCTGGTCGAGAACTGTTCATTATAAAAGGGGTTCTTTGCAAATATATCAATTCTGGTAGTAAATATTTTAAACCTTCAGTAAACACATGCTTGACTTTTCTGATACTTCTCTGTCCATGCGCATGAACTAAATAATAAATGTGTTCTTCCGTTGTGTAGATGAAGTTTATTCATACATAATTCTAGTGTGTTTTTATGCTCAATTATTGGCTAAATTTCTCATTGGTTTCATTTCCTTAATTTTATGACTATTTTTATTGAATGAATATATATTGCGTATTCGATTAGTTTGTCTTGCAGTCAACAACTTTATTGAGCTTGTCAAAGGTTTGCGAAAGAACACGATTAGTTTTCGCCTCTTTTTAGATCATTTAAAAAAAAATTCACTTATCTCATAGAATAATATTGATTTCTGGTCGAGAACTGTTCATTATAAAAGGGGTTCTTTGCAAATATATCAATTCTTGTAGTAAATATTTTAAATCTTCAGTATACACATGTTTGACTTTTTCTGATACTTCTCTGTCCATGCGAATAAATCCTTATCGGTCGTCATGATTAGTCGAGTTTTGTGTAGGCTACTTTTCATCCAAACTACTTCAAAGCACATAAGCACACACACACTTGTATGGAATATAAGGCATCACATTGAATGCATTATTATATATTATTTGTCGCAATAATCACTCATAAATAAAGTGTGAATCGAAAATTTAGTAGTTTCATTGTAGCTGGTCGATTGACTTTTCTATCAGCACATTTTGGTAGTGTTTACAGATACAATTTCATCACATGTTTACAACTTTTGTGTTTCCTGCCCACTTTAAATGGTACATGATAGAAGCGACTTTGTAGTTTACATTAGTTTAAATTCATTCAGAGTACTTTCTTTAATAAGTTTGTTGCAATTATACGGCACAATTCATATTTGTTTATTTTATTTCAATGCATTCATTGTTCAATGGTAGCGTGATGCTCTATGATTATTGTTTAAATAAGTGTTCGTTCCTTATTCAACTGATTTATAAATAAAAGTTATTTAGCATTTTTTGTTAAATATTATTTATTCATTTTTGAGAATTATTGATTCTGTGAAATGAACTACATATATTTTTTAGAATTGTTTTGTTAAATGTTATCAAAGATAAATCTAAACTTTATTGCATAATATTTAAATACGTTTTCTCATAAAAAAAGTGTTGATAATTGTGTATTAGAACCACACATATAGGCGAACAATATTGTTTTCGATTGGATCGACATCAGGCTTTACTCTAACGCTATGATCTGGCTCTTCTAACCCACACACAACAAAAAATGCAAAAGAAGACGACCAGTGTAGTAGGAGCCTCAGCAGCAGCATGTCTCAACATTCACAAGGGGAAAGGCAAGATTCTTCGATACAGCACTACATGTGCCAACCGACAATTCTACTGTATGGGGCGAAAACTTGGAAAACTACGAAAGCCATCATTCAGAAGATAATAATGTTTATTAACACTTGTCTACGTAAAATATTTCGTTTCCTTTTGCCAGACACCATCAACGACAACCTACTTGAGGATAGAACAAAGCAGATTTCAGTGGAGGAGGAAATCAGGAAGAAGCAGTGGAAGTGGATAGGACACATATTGCTGAAAGCACCCAGCTGCATCACAAAGCAAGCCCTCACGTGGTATCCTCAAGGTGAAAGGAAAGGAGGAAGGCCAAGTAATACTTAAGTTCAAAAAAATTATACATTTCAATTCTGACTGATTAGCTTTCGTCTTCGACTATAATTAATCTTTATATCTTGTATTTATTTGTTTTGTAGGATGGCTTGAACCACTTTTAGATCGTATTGCTTTCAATTCTACAATTGTTGTAGTCCCTGTAATATCAACTATAAGTGATAAAACTTTAAAATTTCATATTCCTAGTGCTAGCAGTGTTCAAGTTGGTGGATTCGATTGGAGTTTAACATTTCGATGGCATCAACAAACTGAACGTGATAGAAATCGACCTGGTGCACCATATTCACCTGTCAGGTAAATGACTCATGTACACCATTTTTTCTGATTTAAATAACCTATTTGCATCGTCATTATCAATGTTCTCGTGATTTCATTTAAGTTCACATTTCAGAGATGTTCAATATATGTTTGACAAATATTGTATATTACAATAGATCACATAATTAAACTGTTGTTAATATGTTTCAAATGTAACCAGTCAGTATTTTAATTATTGCTATTGTCATTATTAATTTCTCAGGTCAGCATTACGGGACCCGAAATTAACTATAAACGTGTCAATTTACTTTTATCTCACTGAATAAATTATTAGTTTTAATTATTAATTAATACTGTGTAATTTGCAGAAATGATGTGTGTATGTGTGTGTCAATAGTGATTATTTAGTTTGATTTAAAATACCTGATATTCTCGTTCAATATGAGTATTAAATATGTAGACGATTTGAATATTTCACACGTACCGTTAGTTGACCTGATTGAACTCTTCATATGGGTGTACATTTCTTAATCCATTGATGTGTATTCGAGTAATGTATTTCTCTGCATAATTTATCTTATTTATATGTATATAATTATTCATACAGGGCGAAAATTTGATTATGTGTTTTCGACGTTAGGTCCTCAGAACTCACTTGATAAAGGTCCTAATTTTGCATTTTGTGTTTTCGAGTATGGGCTGATCCATTGACCTTGAGGTTACATTTCTTACTCGAAAAATCCTTGACTTTCATTGGTTGATGCGTTATTTTAGTATGCTATTTTTGTCGCTGAAATCATCATCAAGTGGATGAACCAATAAACGGATCATTCTACTTAACATCAAAGACATATCGGAATTTAAAGCACAACTAGTGAGACTATTTGGAATAGCTGTAGCACATAAATAAACTGAATCACTTCAATCAATCCTATGTAGATCAAATGATGCCAAAGGAAGAAAAACCAAATATCATCTACGGAATAAATTGCTCAGACTGTCAAAAACACTACATAGGACAAAATAGACGTAAACATCAATCAGCGGTCAAACGCCACAACATTTCTTCGCTTATATCAATGCATACGGACAATTATGGACATACATTCAATTATGGATAAGTGTAATACTGTAAGGAAGCCAATGAGGATTGTTGTGGTCTTTTCGGGTGGTGGAGAAAATTTATAGCTCAGCATCAGCTTGTTTTATGTGAACACCACTTAGCAGTCACATGCCACGATAACACTTCGCTTATATCAATACATACCGACAATTATGGCCACACATTTGATTGGAACAATATGGGAATACTGGATAGGGGGAGGACAATGAACACTAGGGAATTTTTAGAAGCTTTGCACTCAGGTCAATCAGCAATCAACAAACACATCCACACTGACCCAATTTCTCAACCAATCGGAAAGATCATAGGCAAATATAGGATCGAGTAACAGATCAAAAGGGAAATGCAATCAGAACAAAGGTGCAAACAACGATAGGTTTAAGGTCAGTAGCAACTAATCAGGATCGAAGTTAACAAAACAAGCTACATGTCAAACATGGAGAAATTCAAATACTTCACTTCTATCTGAAGTTTATGCTGATCCTGATGATGTTATTCAGAAGAACAATGAAAGCTCCACAATCATTCACCTGAGCTACAAATTCTCTTAACCATCTCAACATTTCATACCATCAACAAAATGATGTTAATACACTTATTAAACACATAAACTTCATGTAACACATTTTAATGTATTTTATTTTATTTTATTAACTCCTATGTTTATTTTTGTGCAGTTCAATTATTAATCTCTCTTTTGGTTATTGAATAAAACATTAAATAAAGTGATATTGAAGACAGTGGTTGATGATGAAGGTGATCGCACAATAACGTGAATTGATTGGAGTTACACACTAATCTCATTGAATACCAACACATTAGGTTAATGAATAAATAGTCACTTGCGAGACCGAAGGTCGTCGTAGATACACTCTGTTGAGTACTCTTATATGAGAACGCAACGGCTGTTTAACTCTTCAAAGTTTTCCATGGTGGTCTAATATTGATCAGTTCATGATTTTAATGAACTAGTCGTTATATGTAATTTCATCATATCAATTATATATAAACATTGAATCCGGTGAGGTGCAGGAATCGTGGATGCACACTGCTGACATGTCCCATACCATTATGAAACGGCCGTCTTTCAGTGCTTCCATGTTTTTAATGATATGGTCTAACAATGATTTCAATGTGTAGAAACATTATCTGCATAACTGTAATTGAAAAAAGCTATATAAACATTTCATTATTCAGCGTGTTTTTTTACCCATTATAATTATTCTGTATAATTAATGAATCAAAATTCATAATAACTATTTTATGTAAATCTATTGACATATAAAAATATGTCTGTGTGTCTAATAATTATCATTTGACATTAGAACCATTAAGACAAAAAATAAAAAAATAAAAATCTATTCATTCATTCATATCATGATTATGCTAATTCAAATAATAATAATTAACCATGATGTTCCATTATGTTGATTAGCATAATTGAAATTGTGATTTTTCTAAATATCAGACAGTTAATGAATGCCATATAATTAATTTCATTATAGAGAGTTGCAGAGATTGTTGAGTTTTAGTGAAATCATTAAGACTGTTGTTAGAAAACGAGTATTAGGAAGGGATGGCGAGTCAATAGATGAAGTAGTGAAACTTTATCAGTTGAGGTGGTTGGGACATGTGCTGCGTATGCCCAACCGCCGACTGCCTCGACGAGCGATGTTTTGTGGTGTAGGAGTAAGTTGGAAGAAAGCTAGGGGCGGCCAAACCAAAACATGGAAAAAACCTATGAAGTCACTGACAAATGGACTGAGTCATGTTGGTAGGTTAAGGCTACCTGGTTGGGGTCCGCGGGACAAAAGTCTTCGGCATGGCTCAAAATCGTTCGCAATGGCGCAGGTGATTCCACTCTTTGTGTTTCCGCAAATTCGAACCTTCTGAATTCCTCGTCACCTCTATATTTCTCTTTCTAACTTTATCTCACTGAATTTTATCCTAATCTTCTCCATGACCAGTAATATTTCTACTATCGCTACCACTATGTCATTTTAATTGACAGTTGTGTCTCTGTACTAATACGGTATGACAACCTGAACGGATGTACGTACGTACGAAGTTCTGCGTTGTATATGTCTGTCTTTTATTAAAAACCTGTAAGCATTGGATAACGGCCGTTTCGTCCTAATACAGCACTTATCAGCAGTGCATGTCCACGACATCTTTACGGGGAAATCAAATGCATACTAGGACGAAACGGCTGTTCAGTGTTCACAGGTTTCTGTTGCTATTCAAACAATGATAGATTCATGATTTCAATGAAATTCAGTAAATATAAACGATGTCAGATGTATAGTTTTCTTTTCTTTTAAGATAATATGGCATGTTTTTTAAAGAGTATCTAACAATACGAAAATCATTTCAACTGGAATAACATTAAACAATCATTTGACAATTGATCAAATGTTCAATTTTTCCGAAATTTTGTAATTTTAAACAATCCCCATTAAGTACTATTATTATTATTGCATGAATTAACCAGATAAATTTGAAAATATGCCATAAGGAGTAAGCTTCAGTGAATACCAATTCTTCAATCATTCTTCAAATAATAATCAAATTCTGATAAGACTCAGTCATTTTTTTATAAAACTATTAATCTCTATATTCTCAAAACGATGTTTTTTTCATAACAGCGAGTGCTGCGTGCTGTCGTTACCGTACAGATCTTAGAGACAGTAATTATGCATGTGAATGGATGCATGGGCAGCAATCTGTCGAATGTTTTTCCTTAGCTTCCTTTCCAAGACTCGAATAACAACTCAGTCACCGGTTCACTCTTGAATATCAACGGAACAAACATGAACAGCATTGATACTATGTCACGTCTCAAATTTCTTGGTTGTTTAAATTTGGCGAATAACAATCAGAATGGAAATGGAAGCACTCTTTTCACTGAGGATTAATCACGTACCAATTTGATCATCAACTACCTTCCTCAGAGCTACGATCAAAATGATCTCCAGCGTTTTTATGAGAGCGTTGGACCTATCAGTTAGTGCAAGCTAATTCGAGACAAAAACACGGGTGCCAGTTTGTGTTATGGGTTCGTGGATTTTGTGGAACCCCCACATGCTGCTTTGGCAATACAAACTTACCATGGTTAAAAGACCGAACAGAAACGACTGCGTGTGACGTACGCTAGTTCGGGTGGTCGTTGTTTCACCCCTGGACACCGTCATCAAACATTTTCCAATGGAGCTAGTTTTCCAGGCTCAGTGAATCCGGAAGTTACCAATGAAAATGTAATTGGATGGGAGATCATAGTCACTGGAATACCTGTGGAGAGGACTGAAACGGATTTACTCCGTCTGTTTTCTAATTTCGGGGCCGGAGTGGTGATTAGATTATTAGCTCCTCAATTTCCTGATTCTCCACCGGGTCAGAAATCGCGTCTCAACCCTGCTTTGAATGGAGCTTCAAGTGATTACATTACAAACTGAAGAAATGTTAATGAATCGATAGGTGCACACTGATAAATCACACTTAAACTCATTGACATTTATATAATACCATTATAAGTTCTATTTCTGTCAGTCGTCAGTAAATAGTATGTAATATTTTAGCTTAAGTTGTCACTAGGTCACATAGTTTAATCTCGATGATTTCTTTACTCACTTTAGATTTGATCGACTGTAAAAGTCATGAGTTGACCTTGTTGATAAGAAAACAAATATTTTATGCAAGACTGCATTATTTGTGTACGATACTTGTGTATACTTACTGACCTTGCATTCATTCATTTTCATTATTTGATAAATTATTATTCAGATCACCAACTATGGCCGGTGGTTTATTTGCTATAAGTCGTGAATATTTCGATCATCTTGGCAGGTATGATCCTGGTATGGAAGTTTGGGGAGGTGAAAATTTAGAACTGTCATTTAAAGTAAGTGAATATTGAAATTGTTTCGTATTAGTTTTGTTTGAGTAAACAAATTTCAATATCACCATTTTAAAGTTTATCTCTTATTTACATAAAGTTGAATCAATATCTGAACAGTGAATCACTCAGAATGTGAGCGGACACTACTCAAAAAACATGCTATATTCTTTCACGAAACTCATATCAAAGTTCTTGATATTTTTGTTTTCATGACGACACCTAGACTATTTTCCATCACTGAAACATTGGAACTGTTTGATCTCAGTGATATACTGTTGTTTTCTTTTTATTCCTTTTCTAATTCTTATTGGTAATGAGGTTGCATTCACATCTGTATTTTATTTATTAAAATATCATGACAACTTTGTTAGATGAAACAAGAAGCAACGATTATTTAAATTGTGATCGGTTACTAGTTAGTAACTTATCTCCGATTTGTACACCAATCTAGACTATATAATACATCTGAGATTGGTGTATGAATTATCATGTATGTGGTACTGTTACATTTACTCATTCGTCATATCAATTACTTATCCTGACTGGATTATTAACAGTATTATCTAGACAATTCATTTACAATAAGGGAAGTCAATTCTCATGGAGCAGACGAACAAATTAGTCTGTTAATATCCGTGTTAATAAGTTAAGGTACTATTTTAATACTGTTTGACGATTGATCACGTTACACCGGCCTTTCAAATAGAATTCATTGAAGTGTGTTTCGAATTTAAGATCTGTTGGTGCCAAGTTAGCTCTTATTATCAGTTAGTAGCTTGTTCCAAGAATACAACCTATGTATTTCAGTAATGATGTATTTGTATTTCGCAAAGTATATCGACATAGTTATTGAGTAATTATCTGAATATCAACCATAAAATTCATGTTTTTATTCAAGTTATAGATTTCTATTTACAACTAATCAAAGTCACAATATAATTATGACATGTGAATTAGTTCGTTTGTAGGCGGTTAGTTAGTTAGTTGTATTGTGTTTGTGTTGATTGGTATTTCCGTTTTCGTTTATTTGTGTACTTTGATCGTATAATGTAGAGGAAATTGGGAAAAGCAACTAACCATATTGAATTTGTTTGATGTGATAAGCCATAGTCGACTATTATGTTACGGTGTTGTTGTATTTTCATCTTGAGTTTTTACCTACAATTATTATTGAACTAACTGTATTTGTTGTTTCGTTAGTTGGCAGTTGAATCACATGTATTGCATATGCAGTGGATCGATAATAATTTGAAAATGATTATGAAATATCATAGCAATTAGAAAAGTTTGATAAGTGTTCAATGGAACCGGTTAACATTTGAATAGTTCATTTTAGTAGAATGTAATATTACTCTTGTTTCTGAGGTTTTTTAGAAATCTCACAGTAAAAATTGGATGATAAACTGTTACATAGAATGTTTATCAGAAAATCAATCACAAAACTGTGTTTAATTTTTGAGCTATACGATCTTTTGGCGATTCAGCTTTATCACTTAACTGCCTAGTTACTTTGTTAGTTATCCATTCACCTATCCAAGTTTTCTGTGATTCTAAACGCGGGCAATTGTTTATAACTATCATTAGCATGTTTGACTTTCTTCAATTTTATGTTGTGATTTACTTACCAATTACAAATGCAAATTGTCACTGTGTCCTATAACTGTTTGAAAATTTGGTGATAATCTAGAGCAGAAGATAATGATGAAATACTGAACGTTTGTCATCAAATATGATATAATGTTGTGATATTCAAGATATCAGTAGAGTAATTGGAGCTATTTCTTCGCCATTACTCCCTAATTGAAGTCGTAGGGGTCATACAACAAAATTGCTTAGATTATTCTCACAAGTGGTTTACTGTAGGGGTCAATGAAGGTCTTGTTTTAGTTTTGTGATACAATTTTTATATAACGGAGATGAACTTCCTTGAAACTAAGGTTTCCTTCTTTTTATTTCTTTCATCATACTATACACCTTATCACGTGATTAATTTTTATTTTCCTACTTTGTTGGGGACGTTAGATCCCGAGAACTCGCTTGATAAATGCCTTATTTTCGATTTCACGTTTGCGAGCATGGGCTGATCAGTTGACCTTGAGATTTCATTTTTTTCACCAGGAAAACCCATGGCTGTGATTAGCTGCTGAGTATTTTAGTGTGCTTGATTGCATTGTGCTTGCTGGGTGTTTGTAGAACATACTTTGTACGCTTATCAAGACTCCACTTTTGTCGTATCGGATCAAGATAGCCTACCTGGACGCTGGTTCATTTTCTCGTTTGCGTTTATCGACTAAGGTGAACCCGTATTAGCTTCAAACGTACCTAGTGACGAACCTAACATACTTATTGTGTTTCACTTCTCCTTAGTTTTTGTTCCCACGCGATGTTTTCGCTCCCATTTGTATGACATATTTCTTTGATTTAATCATTGATCAGCCGTTGTTGGACCACCATTACAAATCTGGAAGCATTGGAAAAGCTCACTGACACACTCATGCGCTCGCTTTCTCGCTTACATTTTGGCACTTTCCTTTCGTCTTCGCCTCCTGTGGCCTTTGGTTGTGTAATCTGTACGTAGTGCGATAGTGAACGTAATCGATGCTTCTTATTCGTCTTCTGATTTGTACCTCGTTGGGCGTAATCTACTAACGGTCATCAGGACGAACAGTATTCGAAGTTCAGTAATTATATCGAATACCGACTACCACAGAATTGATGAGCTCGATGACGAACATAACTCAGCCCACCACAATGAATATTCACATTTACAAAAAATACAGGATTATACTGTTTAAGTAAACTACACTCATTTCATTTAACATTTAGCAAGTTCACTGATAAGTCCAAATTATTAAGGTAAATAATATTTAATTGTTGGTCAATTTTTTTCGTGTATGTTGTTTTTATTGTATACCAATAATCTTCACTTTTTTTTTGTTCTCTATATTATTATTGTTCCTGATGTACTATTTAGATTTGGATGTGTGGTGGTAGTTTAGAAACAATCATTTGTAGTCATATTGGACATATATTTCGTAATCGTTCACCATATAGTTGGAAAGTTAAAGTAAAACAACCATTGAGAAGGAATTTACTTCGTTTAGCTGAAGTATGGCTTGATGATTATAAACGATTTTATCATGCACGTACGGGATTTAAACTGGTATGCTTTATTATTCAATATTCAATATTGGTCTGAATTTGGGTAAAATTTTTCTAATGTCATAAATTCATATATAGATTTTTGATTTCCTAATGTTTGAAACAAAATTAAGGGTAGCCAATTCATTCCAATGTGATGTTGACCTCAACGTCACTGGAATACATATACGATCCAGTCAAGCAACTGACAAATCGTTTAAAAACAATCTTTATGATGGAATTTCGTTGCATCTGAGAGAACGAAACTCCAAAATCGTCCAACTCAGCTACACATTTTCTGCATCGTATTAAAAAGTATCTGATATACTTACTAATTTACTTACTTACTTACCTACTTACTAACTTACTTATTTACTTACTAATTAACTAACTAAATAACTAACTAACTTACTTACTTACTTACTTACTTACTTACTTACTTACTTACTTACTTACTTACTTACTTACTTACTTATTTACTTACTTACTTACTTACTTATGCACTTACTTACTTACTTACCTACCCACTTACTTACTAACATAAACACTGTTCACAGTATTTTAAGAGTACATGAAATTTTGTAGAGAAAAAAATTGAAAAAATATTTATCGGTTTATCTAGTAGTGTAACAAATGTCTAATTTCTGATGAAAGTTAAAGTTAAATTTAATATTCAATATTCAATGCAGTATGTATGTATTTTTTTCAAAACTAAAAAAACTGATTCGAAGATTTAGATTTAAAAAGTATGCAAACTTTGTTTGAATCTTTCACAGTAAGAATATATGCCTAATTAGATCTTAGCTGTTAATTACGTAACAGAACCATTTTTTCAGGTCTTGGTATTTATTGAAATTATAACCATCTATATCAGCAAGTGTATTTGTTTTACAGAATGTAAATTAATCATAGCGATTGATTACGTAATAAACTATCCTTTTTCTTTCGACATATGTTTCCAATATATACATTGGTGTTATGAATGGTTTGAACAGTGTTTTTTCATGTAAATCAAGTTTATTTGCTTGATTTTTGAAAGATTCAAGAATGCAAAAAAACAACTAGTCGACGATTTAAACTTTTAAATGTGCACAGTGAAATTCCATTCAGTTTAACACATTTTAAATGAATTTCTTGGAACTTGTATAATGTAGAATATATTTCTTACGAGATATATATCATTAATTTTTGAGTGAATCATTGCAGCGTATTCAATGTTTCTTTTTCGTTCTTACATTTTTGTTTGGTATTTCATTTCATTGTAGATTGATTTTGGAAATGTTTCAGATCGGAAAGCATTACGTGAGAAATTGAAATGCCATTCATTTGATTGGTATTTAACTAATATTTATCCTGAATTATTTGTTCCGTCAAAAGCTCTTGCTTCTGGTGATGTAAGTTTCGATTATATGATATGTATTGTTTCTATTTTCCACGAAAATTCATACTTGTTAAACATGATTCATTCTTGATATTCTGTTTCGAAGTTTAATTACGTTATGACAACTGATTGTCTACTAAATAATGACCAATGTCATTATAGTAAGTGATAGATGCAATCGCGTAGCTTCGTGAATTGAACGAAGTTAGCCATTAACGCCGTTAGATGCCAGCTCAGTAGTCAACAGCTTGGATGTTCTCATGCGAAACCTAAGGCTCTGAGTTCGATTCCTGTCTATGGGATTGTGTATGCACACTGTCGATGTGTCCCATACTAAGACGAGACGACTTCTGGTGACGTAAGTTTTGACTGTTTGCTATCTATTTTCCACGCAGATTATTGATGTTCAAATAATAGAATCATATTTTCAATGATCTTCTAATTTCACCAGTAATCTTCATACTGTTTGATTACATGTATAGACAAAACATTTTAATTGTATTGTACTTACTTACTTACTTACGCCTGTTACCCCCAATGCAGCATAGGCCGCCCACCAGTTTTCGCCAACCAACTCTGTCCTGGGCTTCTCTCTCCAGTTCTGTCCAATGTTTGTTCATTCCTCTCATATCTTTCTCTATTTCACGGCGTAATGTATTCCTTGGCCTTCCTCTTTTCCTTTTGCCTTGAGGGTTCCATGTGAGGGCTTGTCTCGTGACGCAGTTAGGTGCTTTTCGTAGTGTATGTCCTATCCACTTCCACCACTTCTTCCTGATTTCCTCTTCCACTGGAATCTGGTTTGTTCTCTCCCACAGTACGTTGTTGCTGATGGTGTTTGGCCAACGAATTCGAAGTATTTTGCGTAGGCAGCTGTTAATAAACACTTGTATCTTCTGGATGATGCCTTTATTGTAACTAGTATGTAATTTCAATGGTTAATTAAATAAAAAGTGAGAATTCCTATTGGCACACATAGTATAAACATGTCAACTGGAACTGATGTGTATACCTATAAAGTTCTACGTTACTACTCACTAAGTGACTGACTGACTGACTGTTTGTATTGTTATATTTCATTGATATCACCACGTGATCAATATACATAAATGAGTAACAATAATGAGAAAGTGTCGATCAAGCAATACGGTTTGTCAATAACATTGCAATTTATGAAGTAATTATAAAGGTTTTTCATTTAGAGTTATGTAAATCATTATTTTCGCACATCGAAATCACCAATCATTCATTGTTAAACCACCATTAGAAACATGGAAGCAGTGAATGGCTGTTTCATCCTGGTATGGGACAAATGAAGAGTGCGCCTCCTGCTGCTTGTGGATGCACACTGCTGACGAATCCCATGCTAGGACGAAATGACCATCCAGTGCTTCCATGTTTCTAATGGCGGTTTCACAATGATCAAGTGCCCGCTTTGAGACGGCCATCTTATACAATAAAAGACAGATTCCTTTTTAGCTGTTCACTGTTTTACTAATTCTTCTTCAATTAAAAATCAAACTACAATGAAACATCTCTCAAAACATATTATCAGCATCGCTGTTCAATATAAGACAGCTAAAACGATATGACTGGTGTAATAAGATTTTTTGTAATGCTTCTCTTTTGTATGATTATTAAGTTAACCATAAACTATGATATCATGAAGTTAAATAAAATGTTTAGTTTTTTTCATAATAAGTAAGGGTAATCAAAGGGATTGCAAATGATAATTGATATCGGAAACAATCACGAATAAAAAAGATACATTTGCCGGACTTCAATTTTATCTAATGTTAATAATAATAATATTTATTATTATCATACGAAGCTATGTGAATAAAAATAATACAGATATGGTCCCTAGGTAAGGATTCCAAAGCGTAGGCATACATCTGCCTCTGGTTCATGATGCGGCGGATCTCGAATTGAGCCCCCACCTCACACGCCTGCACTCCTTGTCAGGACCCATGATAGCCGACTCTGACATAGTCAGACAACTGTGGCCTGAATCTTTACCAGCACACATCCAGCCCACGATCACGGCTCTGCTCGAGGACACGCCACTCAACCAGGTTGCCCTCATAGCAGACAAAATTTTAGCATGAACTAGCTTGTGAGACCACTACGCTCTTGCCTCCACGTCACATACAACCGTAGACCTCGCTCGACACTCGTCGCTCTTATACTCAAGGAGAACGGGGTTGCTGTATTCACAGCCATCTTAAATTTAAAGACCGTTCTTATATTCCTGAACCGCACGTCCCACGAGCCCAACAACGGTCACGCAATGCTATAAGTACTCTGTATTATTATGAAAATTTGTACATTAGCCGAAATAGATTACTCTATAGTTAAGATTATCAATATTTTTATTTGGTCCTGAAGTCGACCATTAAGAGAAAACATGTTTCTGTTGTACACACAAATAATTTTTAACTAAGAGAATTAATGTAAGATTTTCTATCTATTAGTTATCAATAATAGTTTTATATATACAAAAATTATAAAGATGAAATTAAAAATGTTCTCCCTCCAGAAAGTCGAGGTCCATATACAATTCATCTTGGTGATAAACTAATGTAATTTATGTTTATTAATGATCCAATATAATTAGTCTTATTAAAAATTTGTAAATTTATTTGCTTACACTTGGGCATTTTTCGACAGAACTCTTGTTTATATTTTATGATTTGTCAGTCATTTATTATGATACAGTTTGATTCTAATTTCCTTAGTTCGATCAATCTCTTTTGTCTGTCATAGTTTACGAAATTGTTTTGAATGCCAACCAACATGTAAAAATATCCTACAATTTTGTAGACTATCATTTTAGAAATAGACATCTTTTTCAAAAAGGTTATTTTCAATGCATACATAGATGGTGTGCCTTTGAAGAATGTGTTTTATTATAGTACAGTCTAACTGGCTCATACATGCACCATGTCATTTTGGAAAATGAATGTCTTTGTTAAGTTTGTGATTTTTTTTCTGATTCCTACATATATTTTGTGTTTTTGAAGAACTTCTTTTTGTGAAGTAGACTAACTGGCTCATGTCTATTTATTTCTTCATGACATTTTATCTTTCTTGCTGTTAAATTTCCTGTGGTCATGTATGTAGGTTCATTGTTGAATATCAAGTGTTTTTTTTGAATATGTTCAATGATAGTTAGTGTAAGGTCTATTGACTGCTTGTATGTAGTTTTACGAAAGCTAAAACTTTTCAAGATATATCCACTCAATTAAAAACATCATGCATAATACTATGTTAGCAGCATCTTGTTACTGTCATTCATTCATTTGTATAATTGCTACTCTGCATGATAACGGCATCGACTAATGATTTTAATACTTTGATCTATAAATATTTAACATTTTCCTTGTAACACTTGTTGCATTTTATGTAAAATACGATCAGCTTTAATATTGTTTTATTGGAATAGATAGTTTGTTTAAATGCGCTTTCATACTTTGAATTACAATTTGACCAATGGCGCTTCACTTTATTTCGAATGAACATTGTCTCTCTCGCAGAATTTTTCTTTTTTATCTGAAGGATATGTTACGTGTTACTATACCTCAATTATAGTTGACAGTTAATTTACTTTATAGAAAAAGTAATTAGGCGCATTTACATTTTTAAGTGTGTTATTTTAAAAAAAATGTCCAAGTTTTTTTTTTCTTGTTATTTTGTAAACAAATTCTCTCCTTTTATTTTTAAAAATATAATTCTGATATCTCTTTCACTCAGTCAGATGCAACGTAGAATTTCGTACGTAAAGTACATCAGTTCATGTTGCCATACCACATTAGCACACAGAGATGTAATTGTCAATTCAAATCCAATAGTAGTAGAGGTAGTAAGGGAATTAGAAGTAATCGGAGAGGTTAGGATTAGAAGATATTATTCAAGAAGTATGATTCAGTGGGAAAAGTTTACAAAGTTGAAGAATCTAGAAAGAAGATTAGGATTTGATAGAACACAAAGAATAAATGCACCGGCGCCATTGCGAACGATTTTGAGCCATGTCATTCAAGGTCTCTAACCATCGATTATTATCATCTCGATATCTCTTGATATCTCTTTATCTGTATATGTAGTTATTTTGCGGATTTTATGATAAAAATTAATTTTCTGCCATTACCTCTCTCATCATATATGGATGTGTTATTATGTATTATTTAGGGTATGCAATAATCTCTAGAGATCATGCATGATGCAATCAAGTAACTATAAGCAACACATATTTACTGTGATGACGAATTGATAAGTTTGATTGTAATCACGAAAAAAAATGTAACATTTATGAACAGTTCATATTCATATGGACAATATTCAAAAGAATGCATACAACGTTTTCTAGATATTCAACCAAGAACAATTATATTTTAGTAGACAAATATGAATTCATGTTATTCTGTGTGAGTTTGTGTGTGGTTATGGTACTGCCGATAACCAGTTTTTTGTTCAAGGCACGTAGGTTTGCAAATCTCTCACCATTTTCGTTCCTTTCTCTTAGCCCATGTCGTCCCGTGATGTCTTCATATCCAGTGTTATCCATGCCAAACTTGGCATTTAGTTCTCTCATTAGAATAGTCAAATCCTTTGATGAGTATCTCTCGACGATTGATTGCAGCCTCTCGTAGAATTGATTGATCTCTTACGTCTTCATTGTAGTCGTTGGTAGGTGCATAGCATTGGATGAAGTTCATTGCAATCGCCTCTTTCTTTGTTTTGAAGGATGACTTGATGATCTTGAGTCCATGATATTCTCATCCTATCAGTTCCTTTTGCGATTGTTTGGAGAGCATCAATGCAATCTCTATCTTTCTCCTTTTAAAGTTATCTCACTGAACTATACTTCGTGAATAATATCCTTCGTCCCTAATATTCACCTTGACCGCTTATTCTTCTACTATCTATACCCTTATGAGATTTGAACTGACACTTGCGTCTCTATGCTAATGTGGTATGGCGACCTGAACTTAAGTGCTCATGTAAGAAGTTCTTTCATTGTAACTGAATGGCTGACATTTCTTCTTCATGATCAAAGTATTACAGCACTTCTCCTAAAGTTGATCTCTTTTGTCAAGCCTGTATCTAAATGTGTCTCATTTACTCCAAGTACCACTAGGTTGTATCTTTTCATTTTATCAACAACTTCCTTGGTTCTTTCGGTCTCTTTTATTATGCAAACAATCTGTGTAACTCTATTAATTGTTGCTTTGATTGTCATAGCTTTGAAACCTAGGGAAAAACTCGGCTTTCGAAGTCAGGCTTCGTAACTCTTTTTTTCATTAAAACTCATTGTGACTTATAGCGGTACTACTTAAAATAAATATACTCAGTACAATCAAATTAGTAAGATAACTCAAGCATGATGATTCGATGAATGTGAATGAACACAGTTGTGAAAAAAATTAATAAACATAGTCCAGGCTTCAGACAGGGAGTAGCCCCCTAAAAGGGCTCCAATCGGAGTTAAGATGATAATATTTTCATCAGAATACAAAATCTGAAGGTAGGTATTAATTTCTATATCACATGAATTAAATTGTTTACATTAGCAAATGTTTATGAAGATATACGATAAATTCAAATTTCGGATTCAAATCAATTAATATAAAATTGATCAATTGGAAAAATTACGTGGTACTTGTAATATTTTCTTGAAGTTATATGGTCTATTATTTATGGTTTTATACCCACTTACTTGCTCCTGTCACCCACACGTAGCATAGGCCGTCGACCAATATTGTCCAACCTACTCTTTCTTGGGCTTCCAATTACTATTCATTCTCCTCATTTCGTTCTCGATTTATCGACATAATTTGTTTCTTGACCTTTCTCTTTTCCTTTCCCCTTGAGGGTTCCAAGTGAGGGTTTCTCTTGTGATACAGTTGAGTACTTTCCTCAATGTGTGTCCTATCCATTTCCAGCGCTTCTTCCTGGTTCCTCCCTCCACTGGAATCTGGTTTTTTTCTCTCCTACAGTAGGTTGTTGCTGATAGCATTTTCCGTAGATAACTGTTAATCAATACTCATATCTTCCAGATGATGGCTTTGGTAGTTTTCCAAGGTTCAGCCTCATACAGTAGAACTTACTTGATATATGTATTGAAAATTCTGGCTTTGATGTTTGTTGATGGTTGTTTTGAGTTGCAGATGTTGTTCAATTTTAGAAATTCTGTCTTAGCTTTGCCGATCCTCGCCTTCACATCTGTATCAGATCCCCCATGCTAGTCAATGATGTTGCCTAGATCCTGCATTAGCTAATATTATTTAATTAAATAATTCATGGAAAAAGAAATGAACAGAATTTCGATCATCAACAAATTTTTAAAAAGGTGAACTATACAAAGCAGTTTTATTTACTCAATATAACACATTTCGTCTACAGATCAGTTAACATGCCTCTTGTTAGCGTTCAGCCTTAATAAATGTTTTCTAGTATATCAAAATATCATTTTCTTAGATTATAAAATAATTAGTGCAGTATTTGAGAATATTGACAGTTTAGGTGGATCATTTATGTGTTGTCGAGTTCACTGATCTAAATAAATTCAAAAATACACAACTTTCACTGATGCTCATGATCATATAATCAACTGTTTCATTTATTAATGAGTGATTTTCTCAAATTATTTCACAAATTTCGAATCAACTCAATCTGGTGGTCCAGATTGTGGTTTGCTTATGCTATACAAACAAACACATACCTTTAAATTAGTTTGTAGAGCATCCACATACATTTGAGTTCGTTTATATTTAATTTGGTTAAGCTTTTCGATTAACTTATTTAACCAAGCCACTTACTTGTATAGCAACAACTTATATGTACCATTGGCTTTTATCATTGTCTGGTTTATATGAGCTGGTACGACTGAGCATTGCTTATGCCCTCACCCCATTCGCTTTAATATTAATTTCCTAAATATTTCGATGACTCAACCATTTCCCTATGCATATATATATATATATATATATATATATATATATATATATATATATATATATATGTCCATTTTAATCTTATGAATTCATTCACCAATTCGCCAACTAGCTCGCTAGTGTGCTTTCCCTGCTCTGTGTTTGTGGTCTGCTGGTCCATTTTGTGATGTGTCGAAATAAACGTATTCAACACTTCGTGTTCACGTTCTGATTTAAAGCTGTCAGGCGCTACAATAGTATCGATCGTCTGTACGAACCAATTACGAAGTCTAAGAATAAGTTGAATATAGACCGTCACGAGACTAGTGATACATTGACCACCACAAGTTTACACTCAATAAACATATCTATGTCATCATTCTATTTCTTTTTTAAACAGTGTTCATTCCATAATAACATCCATTGAGAAATCATTAATATACTACTGGACAATTGCTTCAACTTGATATTTCAAATATTGTAATAATACTCTGAAAATACTAATTATGTAGTCTAACTCAATTATTGTGATATTGAAATATTGATCTCATTATTCTGTTATTGTAGATTGAAAATGCTGCTGTTCCTTACTGTTTAGATGCACCATTACCAAAGAAAACTGATCGTAAATCTGTAATTGTGAAAGTATTACCATGTCATAGAATGAATGGTAATCAAGTAAGTTATTATTATTATTATTGTTAAATTAACTTTGATACAAACAATACATTATCTTGAAATATTCACGAAAAATCATTCTTATTTGTTTTAATGAATACACAATGCCATTTTATTATTCAATAAAGTAAAGAAAAGTAATCAACACGACAAGAACTCTTTGAAATAATTCGTAATTGTTGGTGGAGGTTAGATCCTCAGAATTCACTTGGAAAAGGTTCTAATTTTGTAATTTATTTATGAAATTTTGAATTTTTATGTTTTCGCGCCAAGAGATACTTAGTTGATGGACAGCTTACGTTTCCCACTCGAAAATCCTTGACTGTTGTTGGTTGATGTGGTTCTTTTTTCAGTACGCTATTTTGTGACTGTCCTAAGGGCGTTTCTCTACCATTGTAGTAACTAAGCTTGGTTTGTGTGCTTATCTACCTCGTATTTTCTGGATGCTTGTTGCATACATTCTCTACGCCTTAACCATAGCCTCTTGATCTAGCTAGCTAGCAGGGCCTGAGACAAATGAATTAGTCACTGTATTGTTGATCTTCATTCTGTTTACCGAGTATGGGTGAACTTGTAATAGTTTCAAGCATATCGATCGACGAGCATATCAATAATCCATGGATTACTTTCAAATTTGAAGAAAAATATGATGATAAGATAATGTTGCTTCATGTCCAGCTTTCTTGAAGTGATTAAATGATTCAGTAAAAAGAAATTTGCATGAGATAGTCTATCCACTTTCACATGCTCGCAACATAAAATTAATTTAGATTAATGTCTGGGTCATAGAATGGGGATAATTGTGCTCTAAGTATGCAAACTAAATAAACATGGATAGCCGAATAATTTTATGAAGAAAGACATAAGTCAATCTATTACCAAAGTGTGTATAGCCATAAAAGTCCAAACCTAAACTTAATTTCAAAGGTGACACAACGAATAAAATTATTTATTCCTTTAAACAACTTGTATTGCCTTCAAGATACATGTTACGTTATTTCGCTCATAGAAGTTAATACTTGTGCAGCAAATCAAGAAAATAACACTAAGTTCAGATTTAGCTATGTTTAATCATTTTGATTGTTCTCGCATGACTAGTTGTTACATTGTCCGTATCGAACAGTACTCATGTTTACGCATTCATGAGCATATACCGGTATGCTGATCAAAAGGTAGTCCAAAATCTGCTAACAGTGCGATTTTTCCCCCAAATTAGTTGACTATGGACATAATATTGAAATCAAGTATACCATCTCACACCAGTTTTAGAAAAATCAAGTTTCTAGTGATTTACCTGAAAGCACCAGATTATGCTGCTTATTCTATAATAGTTGAAGCAATTAGCATCAATGCAAAGAAATCCAACTTATGTGTGTATACGAAAAGGATACATAAACATTCATTGTTTACTTTGCATTACATTTAAATTGTTTCGTTCATAGTTGCGTATACATTCCTTCTACTTCTTCTTCATTGTGACTGATCTATTAAGTGAGACTCGAACTCAATCACTATAGCTTCAATCAATATTCTATACGTTGTTACATGTGTATAGTTGTATTAACAACGGTTTGTGATTCAATCTCTATTTGTTAGAGTAACAAAAAACGAACGGACTGTCAACACCTTACAGTCATTTCTTTTATTTTTAAAAAAAATTAAAAATACAAAACATCTATGTGATAAGCAGGTGTTTCGCATAATCACCACATATTGTGTAATTCAATAGTGAATTATCAAACAACTAACAATAAATTACAATACTTTTAAGTACACTCACTGTCTTTTATATATTCTATCCGTCCGTTATTTACATAAGTCAATTAATATGTCTATCTATCTATTTATTAGTAGGTAAGTAGTTGATGAAAAGAGAAAAAACTAGCCAAGATTAACCGAAATCCGATATAATGTCGACTACATTTCAATACTGATACAAATGTAATCGGATCTAGTCAAGTGACATGTTAACAAATACTAGATAATATTGTCTTTGTTTTTTTCTAAACAAAAAATTCTATCTCAATTGTATTTATTATCATTTATTTACTTTATTAATCTTACTTACTTACTTACTTAATTACTTTGAATGATTTTTGTTTGCTGATTAACGTATTTTTTTACCGAGTCGGTTTTCTTCGGGATGGGATTGCTAACCCTATCTATGTCCAACCTTTCTACTTTATTCGGTTTTGCTACCGGCAGTATAATTCCAAAAGGGCTCCAGGAGGATTTGCCTCATTTATCCAAAATATAGAGATTTGAAATGCGAAACATTGATCAGTTTTGCCAATTTAAGATTCTGTCAATTTCTAGAAAATACTGAAGACATCATTATTAAGATATAATCAACTATGAAGCGATTATCAAATAATTTTCGCTCAGTCTAACTACACATGATTATCAGATTGGTCTGGTTATGGTGGTACTTCATTCTCTGAGCTGAACAACATCATCATCAGCAGCAGCACAAACTTCATCGGATAGATGTTTGTTGTTGTTCAGACGAACAATGAAAGAAGCCTCCACAACCTAGAGATCCAGCTCAGAGAACGAAACGCCACCACAAACAACCAGCTGAATTACAAATTTTTTCCACCATCTCAAAGATTATCTGAATAAGATTTCAATTCAGCTGTTATAAAACCATAAATTAAGTCATTTGGAATCAGTCAATTCAAAGGTGTTAAATGATCAACTTTAATCTACTAGAGATTTGTATTTTTTTTATTTATTTTCAAGTTGTTTTTTTTATTATTTCACCATCCTTTATGAGTTGTATGTAGTGATATAAAACATTATCAATATATATTCTAAAGTTGTAGTGAACGAGAACCGAATTGTATTTAACGAAAATTACAGAGTTACTCTCAGTAAAATCGGAAAACCATATCGTAAATTGTTCATTTGCAAAATATCAGTTCATCATATCGAACTGGACTGTTCCTGTTGCAAAACATCAATCCATTGTCACTGTTGATGCGTTTGTTTCATACAAATTCCATTGTTTTCTAACTCTTCCTTTCTTGATCTTCCCCCCATCTTCTGCTGCCAGACATAACGTTGACGTTCACGTCATATACTACTTATAAGTAGCTCACACCACAAAGTGATTATCTCTTTATCTAGAAGAAAGTAAATTCAAGTAGCTAAATTAATTTTACTCAAAAAAAAATAATCATTTTAGTATTTTTTTTAATTGACATATTTCACTAATGTTCTGTTATTATGAATGATTTATCAAGTTATTTTATTGAACAGATAAAAATTAAACTACTCTAGTAATTTAATATCATAAAGTAAACATTTACAATTTTCAATTTCAATGTCTGAACATTTAAACGAAGAACAATAGCGTCATTATATAACTCTATAAATTCAAAATAAATTGAATATTAATTATTTAATCTTATTGTTTAAGTTAATCAAATCATAAAATGTATTTACCGCATAATATTGAATAGAAAATTCATTATTTAACGTACTGTAGAGAATAAAACGACACATGTGCAAAACTATCATTGTCTGTAAATATTTACTGTTGGGGATGTTAGATCCCCAGAACTCGCTTGATAAATATCTTTATTCTGGATTTATTTCATGGGCCGATCAGGTGACCTTGAGATTGTAGCATCTCATCATTCATTCATTGTACTTTCGTTTGAATTAATCGATAATTGTATTGACCATAATTTTGGATTTGAATAATTCGATTACAATATCGATTATCCTATGTGTCTATATATATTTTTTCATTGTTTGCTGGCTATTGTTGTAGAATACAATTTCTACGCTTATCAACACTTCTGTTTTGCGCTTTCGGATTCAAGGTAGCCTACCTGGACGCTGGTTCATTGTCTCGTTCGCGTTTACCGCCTAAGATGAACTCGTAATAGCTTCAAGCTTACCAAGTGACGAGCGTAACATTTACACAATTTAGTCTATCTAATATGACGTTTTGTCAAAACATTAATTTCTTATTCAAACAATTAGGGATTGATTCATCAAACTCTAAACTATGTAATGAGCATCCATGTACATGAAGTTAATAATTATTGTTATGATTTGCTAACTGTTCTTTTATTTCAATTTGGTAATCAAATTAACCACCTTTTTTTTCCTTTTTAATTCATTTAAAAATTTTCTAGTTCTGGTTACTATCACCTGACAATGAAATTAGACGAGATAATTATTGTTTCGATTCTGGTATACATCGGAACAGAATAGGTTTAGTTCGTTGTCACAGTTCAAAAGGATATCAGGAATTCACTTATGAAACAGTAAATATTTCATATTTATACATTAAATTTGAGATTTAATTTGTATTATTCATGTGTTGTGTATTGTTTCATTTAAGTAATCGGCTAGCAGTGGAATGTACGTCGTGCGTTTCATCATCTTAATGTACTTACATCTTAGTGTTGGTATTCACTGAAGGACTTGAACGCGCCTGCTGGATCTTACTGCAAGCCAGTATCCACTTTAGTTAATAATACTTGTTACCTAGAGGCAAGTTGTACATATGACAAAGAGAATGATCAATAATAGATATATTGTTTCTGTAAGGATATTCAACCAATATCCCAAGAGAGTTATTTGTAAGCCTAGTTCTATTGGTCAATTCCTATTTGTCGTCCTAACTATCAATGTCACTTTAAATGGTATTTCCTATTGGTAATCCTGACTATCGATATCACATACTTCAATTTTGTTTCTTATTTTACCTACCTGTATAGATCTGTGACGTATTATGACCCGGATCCTTAGTCCGGGATCCCCATCCTCTTCTGGACTCGGATCTCATACTTTCTGGATGTTTGTAGAATACACGTTCTACTTCATATCAAGTCTTCTTCTTTTACTCAATGGGGATTGGGGATGCTCGGATTAAAGTAGCCTGTCCTGTCTTCGGATCATCGATGGTCGATCCGACTAAGGTGAACTCATAATAGTTCAAGCATATCAAATGACCTGTTGACATGCATGTGTAACAGTTTCCCAATATTAGTTTACTTATTTTGAAAAAATAATGTTTGTGACGTTTTTATTATTTATTACTATTCATATTTCACTTTGCATTCAGTAATTTTACAATGTTTTACTCATGGAAAATATACACTGATTAATTGATTTTCTTTTCTACAGGATAATACTATTCGTCAACAAGGTAAATGTTTAGAAATCAATATCGAATATTTAAAAGTTTTCCTTACTGAATGTACTGGATCATTAGAACAACAATGGAAATTCAACAGGAAACCATATCTGCCATCTGTGAATAATCATAATACATAATTGTAATCTTTTAAAAAATAGAAATCACATTTAAAGTTCCATTTAACATGTATATGTGTGTCTACTTGTCATGTCTTTCATGAGATATTGTTATTTTGTTATTGAATTCAGAGTGAAATAAATAACTTAACAATAATTTATGTATAATTATGTGATTTTTCTAATTTATCGAAACTGTTCATAGTCAATTATTAACTTTGATCAAAAACCTAACATTGGCTTTGAATATTTGACTCTTTCTCTCTAGCCTGCTTATATCAGTCTTTCACATTATATACGGAGATCACTTAGTCACAAAGATACATGGAATTAGTTTTTTTTATCAACATATTTCTGTTCATTTATAATTTCATTTGTACAATTTTCAAATGATTAAGCTCTTTCATTCAATGTTCAGTTTTCTGTACTACGAAATATTAAGCTATTGTTCAGTTACACATATATACAAAATTTTATGTCATTGTATTCTTTAATACGATAATGACTGTATATCAAATTGAAATATTGAATTCCTGTCAAATAACAATATTATCCTCGTGTATATTTCATCTTGAAGATAGATTACGCTATAATCTACTATGACAGGAATCCTTGACTTGTTCGTTTATTTTTATTGAAATAAATGATTTTTGAATTTCCTCGGCTCTGCATTTCGATTTAGGTACAATGTTGTTTTGTAAACTGAGATTACTACAAAAAAGTAGTATGCTGATACATTTCATTGTATTTACGATGTATGTAGTTGGCTTAGATAAAATGAAATATCAAGTTACCAATAGATAATATCAATATGTTTTTATTTAGATATCTAGTTATGTCAAATGTATAAATAAAACGATTAACAAATCTTGAAATTATAGGTTATGCTGTACCCAATCGATTATCAGTGCGAAAAGTTTTTCATCGTCTATCATTTCAAATCTCATCAACGCTCAGAAAAAAACTACTGTAGTGTGTATACCGATATGCTGTGCCTGCATGGATTGTCCCAGCTTTCGGACAAACTAATTAGCCTTTTCTGCCTGAACAATCCATCATTCAGTCATCTTTTGACCTTGTCAATCATTCGTTCATATCTTGATTGTTTTTATTTCAGTGTGTGTCTGTGTGTGCTGCTTACTTCGCTGCATACATGTCTAGCCTATTTTCGTCTGATTATAAATACTTAGTCATTGCTTCATTACATTGAGCTGACTCACTGACCTCCATTTCGCTTTGCCTGTATGATTTGTATTCTCATGTTTGTCTGCGGGAATACAAACTGGGTTCACCTAAATATGATCTACGGAAATTGAAGGTACGTTTTATTTCATAGCCCGAATAATTATTCATAATTATCGAAGTCATAGACCGCGAGCCACTGAACTATTTTTTACTTACCTTTCAATTAATAAATAACTTTTAAGGCTCTCACTAATCTGCATAATTCTATGCATGAAATCCTATAATAGTGATTAATTCGTCTGAAAGAAAAGTAGCGTTCCATTTACTGTTCATTTCTTTTTTGATTCAATGTTTTCTGAAGACTAATGTCAACAAATTAATATCAAAGCATAAAGGCACGTAAGTTAGTAAGTTTTCTACGCGATGTGGTCAATAACCCCATGCCCAACCGTCCTTTATCCACGCTTGGGACTGGAAATAGCCCCAGAGGAGATCCAGTCGGATATTAATAGTATGACTTTGCAAGACATAAGCAAATCAATAAATAGCTTCAAAAGTGATGAATGATTCCAAACAACGCGCTAAACTGAATAGTACGTTGTTCGATATCCTACAAACAGAACTAGGAAAATGTGCACAGACAACACCCTAAACGAAGTGCTAGACTTCATTCATGATGTGTTGATTGAAATGAGTTCTCCACAAAGTTTTCTGAAGAGACACACACTCGAAATGAACAGAAAAATAGAGATGTCGACAGTGAATAGGGAACTTGGCATCCTGAAGCAACAATTTCACGTAGGTATTTACTATATATGTGTATATAGAACTAGCACAAAAACATGACTTGATGTTTTCTGAAGATTGATGTCAACAAATTCATATTAGAATATAGTTAGTTCATGTGATATCGAGTCATCCATACAATTGATCTCATTGAACTTTAATTGACCAAATTCGATCATCACTAAGAATTGTATAAATGTTATTGGTTTGAACTCTATGGTCAATTATTACTGTAACTAAACCAGTATGTGATACTGTTCTTATTAGATTTGATTTAAAAAAAAATAAAAATAATCTATCAAAGTTATCAACATAAAAAATTGTTTATTCGAGAGAACAAAAGAAAACTTGTGTAAAAATATAAGATCATCATGTTCATAACATTGCATAACGATATTTCTCACTCTATAGAAGTTTGTTTATAAAATATCTCAAAATAATAACCATAATAATAATAATAATGACAGTAATGATATTCCAGAACATTCTTTGATTTTCACCAACAGAAATTATTCAATGTTCAATAAATAGGCACTTGCATACAGTTTGTTTTATTGAATAAAATGAGATAAATTATTATTATTATAATTATTTGATACACAAAACAATCATCACAAGTTGAGAAGACAATCATGTTTATATCTAATTGTACAGAAAGTATAATAACGGGAAGAGAGTTAATTATGTGTAACAGTTGTATGGTGTAAACAAAAGAGAAATCTTGTCATGAAAAATAAACTATAAAATACACTGTGAAAATCACACACACACAATGACAACAACCACCACCTAGATGTGTGTGTGTGTTTGTGCAAAAGGAAGAATAGAGTTGAGAAAAGAAAGTATTGAGCATTGGAATACAAGTGTACAGAGTTAGTTCAGAATGTTGTGTTATTCATTCATGAAACAACTCAAAAAGGCATTTGGTGAAATTCAATTCAAATGTAGTTTAACAATCAATGAAGTGATTGTTTTTGTTTTCTTTAAATGTTGATTGAGAAATGTTATCACAGATAAACCAGAATTGTAAAATCAAAAATCAAAAATGAGAATGATATGTTATCGCCAAACTGAAACCGATTAATTTCTACAACAAATTAATTCATAGATATGAAAATCTTGAAGAAACAAAAACAGTTAGTTACAGTACAGTAGGTTTTTTCATGTTGTAAAAAGCAGTTGTTTTTACTGATAGAGAATATTTGAGGAAAGACTAAATAAATGTTTTTCTTAGTGAAGAATATACATGTCAATATGTATATGATGCATTGACTGGTTGAATACGAAGCAAGACAAGTAGAGGAGATTGATCATTGTTCCTATAGTCAATGGTGTTCACAGTTAACATTAAAATTGGTTATGATCATTAGCAGTTGGTAAATATGGTTTTCTGCTGAATTTCCATTGTTGTTTCAATGATCCAGTGCATGAAGTAAGTAGAACACTGGAGTTTTCAATATTAATTTCTAAACACAGTCCTTGATGACGAATAGTACCGTCCTGTAGTAGTAGTAGTAGTAGTAATAGCAGTAAAAAAGAATATATTTCATTTGATTAAACAATTCTACATTTTCTAAATTTTGGTTTCATAATAGTAAAAGTATTTATGATCGAAAAAGTTTCAAATGTATGAACAATTTTAAATATTAATCAATAAATTAACTAACGGGAGACAACCATTCAAAATGATTACGGAAATGTTACTTTACTTACTTACGTCTTTTAGAACCGAGTACAGCATAAACCGTCGACCAGTGTTTTCCAACCTACTCTGTTCTGGGATTACCTTTCCACTTCTTTCCAACTTCTCATGTCTGTCTACGTTTTTCAGCGTAGTGTGTTTCTTGGCCTTCCTATTTTTCTTTCACCTTGAGGGTTCCGAGTGATAGCTTGTTTTGTGATGCATTTAGGTGATTTCCTTAATGTGTGTGCTATCCTTTTCAATCGTTTCTTCCCGATTTCCTCCTCCACTGGAATCGGGTTTGTTCTCTCCTCTATTCGGTTGTTGCTGATGGCATCTTGCAAACGAATCCTAAGTATTTTGCGTAAACAACTAACTGTTAATGAATACTTGAATCTTGTGGATGATGGTTTTTGTAGTTCTCCTGGTTTCCGCTCCATATAGTAGAACTGTCTTGACATTTGTATTGAAAATCCTGATTTTGGTGTTGGTTGACAGTTGTTTTGAATTCCAGATGTTGTTGAATTGTAGAAATGCAGCCCTTGCTTTGCCAATCCGCGCCCTCACATCTGCATCGGATCCACCTTTCTCGTCGATGATACTGCCCAGATATGTAAAGGTGTTACCATCCTCCAAGGCATCTCCATCGAGAGTGATTTGGTTGGTGCATGTTTTGTTGCATCGTAGAATCTTACTTTCACCTTCATGTATGTTGAGACCTACTGCGGCAGAGGCTGCTGCTACACTGGTCGTCTTCTCTTGCATTTGTTGTTGAGTGTGCGATAGAAGAGCCAGGTCATCTGCGAAGTACAGATCGTCCAGCTGCATTCTGGCTGTCCACTGTACTTCGTGCTTCCCTCCAGATGTTGACATCTTCATAATCCAGTCGATCACCAGGATAAAGAGATTACAGAAATAGGTATGGAAGAAACAGCTACTGATGAAACTAATTCAAGAAAAGATGAGAATGTTATTCATTCACTTTCCAGAAGATTAACGTGATAATAAACATTCTGGTAACCTTTGTGGCAGTGTAAAATATCATTTTCACATCGACATTTCAGGAATTTAACGATTTAGATACAGTTTCACGAAAATGAAGATTTAAAACATACACAACATACATTTGTCTTCACCGTTTCAATTTTATTATTCATTTGTTTTTGACATGAGCTGTTACGAATTGTTACAACAAAACAAAATATAAGAGTTATGTAAAATATGCTTATAGCACCTTTGAAATCGATTATCACAAACTAGCATCACCGCAAAATACAGATTCGAAGCTAGGCTGAATAACAGAACCTCCTTGATTTCCGGAAAAACTAGATTCTACAAGGTCAAAATATCATGTGACGTTTCCACAACCGTTTATTTTGAAGCCATTAAGTCGAAATTTTTTCGAAGCTATGCATCATGTATCGCATCCTAGCATGAAAGTCACAATCGAACTAACTGTCGAGCGTTTT